GATGAAGAACTGCCTGGTCGGGCTGGGGCGGCCGCGCTTAAGTCACTGTGCAGCGCCTAAGGGCTAGGCGCTGCACGTCAAAGTGTGGCGCCTAGCCCTTAGGCACTGCACAGGTGCGTGTGGGGCCGCAACTGGACCAGGGCTGCCACGGTGGCGGGAGGTGCGACGCTTAAAGGAAGGGCGCTGCACAGTAGGGTGCAGCGCCCAGCTGTCGGACGCCACACTGAAGGGTAAGCAGAGTGAAATTTTTTCATGACCAGGTCAGTTTGTGATTTGATTTGGGTCTCAGGTCAAATTAGTGATTTCTGGCTCGTGCGGCCAGCTGTTGCTGCCGGCCACATCACCGGCCGTCCCCGGCTACAAATACCACGCTCCCATCTCCTTCCCCCCGACAACCACCACCGCCGCTCACCACCTCCCACAACGAGTCAATCGTCTCCCCATAATCCCATCCCAGTCTCCTGCTCCCGTCGTAGACTCGTACAAGATGGAGGGGTGTGAACGGATCAGAGGGCCGTGGAGCCCGGAGGAGGACGGCGCGCTGCGGCAGCTGGTGGAGCACCACGGCGCGCGCAACTGGACGGCCATCGGCCGCGGGGTGCCCGGACGCTCTGGCAAGTCCTGCCGCCTACGGTGGTGCAACCAGCTCTCGCCGGGGGTGGAGCGCAGGCCGTTCACGGCCGACGAGGACGCCGCCATCGCCCGCGCCCATGCCCGCCTCGGCAACCGCTGGGCCGCCATCGCCCGCCTCCTCCGCGGCCGTACCGACAACGCCGTCAAGAACCACTGGAACTGCTCCCTTAAGCGCAGGCTCGGCGACCTTGGTGCTGACGGAGTCGCCGAGGGTGACCAGGAGGAGCGGCCGTGCAAGCGCGCCAGCTTCACGCCGGAGAGCACGTCCGGTTCGGGGTCGGGGTCTGGATCCGGGTCCGACCGCAGCGACCTCAGCCATGGCGGCGTGTTTGCGCTCGGACAGGTTTACCGGCCGGTCGCGCGTGCCGGCGGGTTCGAGCCGGCCGACTGCGCCATGAGCCAGCGACACGAGGAGGAGGAGCAGGAGGACCCATTCACGTCGCTCTCGCTCTCCCTCCCCGGCACGGATGCCCACGCGTTCCACCACGACATTTCCACCAGCCGTTTCCACGAGCCGTCTCCCTCCCCGTCGCCGCCGCCCGCTCCGGCGTCCGCCACCGCGCCGCCGGCGTCGTCATACCCGTTCAGCCCCGAGTTCGCGGCGCTGATGCAGGAGATGATCCGTGACGAGGTGTGCAGGTACATCTCAGGCGTCAGCTGCGGCGCCAACCTGCCGTCCATGCCGCAGCTGGTGAATGGCGTGATGCGCGCGGCGGCGGAGCGCGCCGGCGGGGTCTCAATGATGCGGTGACCGATGATTAATCGATTCGACCAGGTCGAGCAGATGGCTGGCTCGCCTCGACCAATCACTCTAGGACAGGCGAGTCTGAACTGAATTTAGAATTAGCAATGGGAGAAAGAAGAACTAGGCAAAGCTAATGATTTGCTTCTTTCTGTACATACAAACAAATGAAGTGGAAAGAAACTTGCATATGTCTTCAACTTTGAGCTCACTCATGTCAAATTTGTTTTCCTCGGAAAGCAAAAATATATCTATGTATATGGATCTGAAGTGAAAAATCCCTCGTTCTTCATTTGAGGCGCGTGGATGCAGAGTAACGTCAAGCGTCGCAAACGGTGCGACCAAAACCTATGTGCTCTAGGATGGAGAAGTTGAACAATCAGACAAAATGGTAACCAAAACAATTTTGCAGCAAAAGGCGTCCATGTATGAAAAAGAAGCATCATTCATGATTTTTAAGAAGTTCAAAAATTGCAAAAAAAATGTGCACGGATTCAAAAAATGCTTGGGACGTGAATTTCAAAAAATGTTTATTAATTTTTCAAATATTCGTGAGTTTGAAAAATGTTCAAGCATTCCCAATTTTTTTTTGTGAAATTCGGAAAAAAACAAGAGAATTCAAGAAGCATTCATGAATTTCAAAGATTGTTTGCAAGTTCAAAAAAGTTCATCGGCAGCTTAAGAAATGTTCATGCAGTATAAAAAAGTTCATCGGCCATTCAAAAAAAAATATTCATGACAATTAAAATATATTCACGTGTTTCCATAATATGTTCATTACATTTTAAAAAATGTTTAACTTTCGTAAAATAATTGTTCATAATTTATAAAAAAAGGTTCATACTATTTTAAAGAATGTTTGTCAGTTTCAACATATGTTTGTGTCATATAAAAAAAGTTCATACAGAGTAAAAAAATATTCATGTATTAGAAAAAAGAAATGTTTCGTACCATTTTTAATAGTGTTCACGCATTTTAACAAAATGTGTTTGTGACAATTAAAAAAAATCTTCGCATAGTCAAAAGCAGTTTGAAACCATTTTCAAAAGTGTTGATGCATTTAAACATAATGTGTTTGCGACATTTTTAAAAATGTTCTCATAGTTAAAAGGAGTTTTAACATTTTTAAAAGTGATCATGTATTTCCGAAATGTGTTCGTGTCATTTTTATACATTGTTATTACAATGTTAAAAAATTAGACACAATTTTAAAAATGTTTCCAACCATTAACAAAGTATTGAATTTGTATTTGAAATCTTTAATATTTAGTAAAAATATTCAAAATATTGTCTTTGAAAAAAGTTCCCATATATAGGACAAATGTTCAAGTGTATTAAAAAATCTGCACGTATTTAAAATAAAAAAGAAAAGAAAAACCTTGGGGTGGCGAGGTTAGTGTTTCTTACAATACGTGCAATCCAAGTTTTTGAGATCAATCCAAGCGTTCAACGACAACGACGATGGCTCTAGGGCACTGGTCCTTAGGGGCACGTCCACGAAGACTTTTAGAAAGTCATCGATAATGTCAGGCCGGTTACGGTATGGGAACGGTGATAGCAAGGCATCAACGGCTCGTTCTGGCGGCGGCACTAGTCGTTCGGTGGTCTAAGAATTTCGATGTAACTTTTATTACGTGTTGGAAACTTGGGATACTTTGTCTTTCTAGTGAACTCTCTTAATAGATATATGCCTTTCTTTAATCAAAAATGAAAAGCAATGAGAAGTAGCTGTGGCTGGAGCCCATTGAGGTCCATCTTTGCTCGACCGGTCCACCGTACATTTTCAGAATAGGCCATGCATTACCTTTTCGCGCGTGAGAAGCGCATCGCGGCGACTCCGATAGCATCTTCAACAGGCGCCCAAAAAATGCCTCACACGCTAAAAATCATTGTTTTTTGTGCGCAGGAGACAAAAAAAAAGCGCTTCAGCAAACACTATAAAATAGAGGTGCCTTAAAAACTTTAGCGTTTGCGCTAAAAGCGGTATCCCGGGCTGCACAGTTTGGGCGCCAGATTGTGCGCGCTGCAAATTCTGGCTGCTGCAGGTGGGGCCGCTGGATTGGGCGTCGTGCTTTTGAGCATCCGGAAAACAACTATTTTGATGTTGTAAAAAAATTATATCGTGCCAGGGCGAAGTGCCCCTATTGGAGATGCTCTGACCACTGATGACGCGCGCTACAACGGCCGCCTCGAGCGGTCGTGCGGGTCAGATAGAGCAACTAATATGCTATTGCACTTGCACGGGCGGGTGCGATCGATGCAGATGCAGATGCACCTGCACGGACATGACAGCTCGATCGTGGCCATCTGACCATACCAGCGAAGGAGATGGAGCGGGCAAGGATCTCTCTGTTTTGTTTAAGCGACGGGACCGTCCGAGGAAGCTGCACCGAAGCTGCGTGGCAAATTTGACCATTTTGACCTCTGAACGAAATCAATTTACGGAATAAACTGCCCGTAAAACTATTTCACACCGCTAACCGTTTTGTGTAGCGCCCGCCACGACGGCGCCGCACCCTACTGTGCAGCGTCTAGCATGGAGGAGTTGCACACCAATCCACCGTGGCAGCCCCTGGGCCCGCACCCAGCAGTGCAACGCCTCCGGGCTAGGCGCCACACATGTAATATGCAGCGCCCAGCGCGTAGGCGATGCACTATGACTTAGATCACCGGCCGCCCGCTCCCCCTCCCCACCCCACCCATTCGTTCGGTTTTGAAGTAACAGAAGCAGCGGCGCGGCGGGTTCCTCCTCTGCCCCTCTCAATCCCCTCTTCCAAATCCTTCAGATCCGACGATTTGGTCCGTGCATTTCTTCACCAATCCATCCTAGAAGGTACTCTCTTCCGATCCCCTTCTTTCTATCTATAGAAAATATGATATTTTGAAGATTTGGGGAATACTTGTTTGATTAGATTAGATTTGAATCTTGCATGTATTAGAACTTTGCATGTATTGATTTGGGGAACCCTTGTTTGTTTGATTTGTGGAACCCTAGTTTAGTTTATGGAAGAGTTATTTGTATGAAGTAGGCCTAGTTATTTGTGGAACCCTTTTTTATTAGTTATGTTTGATTTGATATGGTTGGATACATAGATTGGTATGGTTGCATCTAGTAGGCCTACTTTAGTTTTTTTATATTCAAAAGATAATCGTGTTGACAAGAAAGCTTTCTTGCAAATTGCTAGGATGGTTTGGCTTCTCAATGATCATTGGGATGTACAACACCGGTCGTACGCTATGTCGGTGAAGCAGCAGGTAATAATGAAAGTTGCCGGTGTTATGAATTTCGTGTTTTTTTTTCAAACACATACCCCCCATATGTAATGATTTGTTGGTTTGCTTGTAGGAGCTTGCATCTCTGAAGCTTCGGGCTCACGGGGTCAACCTTGGGTGGATGCGCTATGATGAGCGGTACACGCCGTATGTTAGGGAGACATGACTTCTCCCTTTCATTCAGTTGGTCAGCCGGTCGACGCCACCCAACAATGCTCCAGCACTCACCGCGCTTATTGATCATTGGAGGCCGGAGACACACACTTTCCATCTTCGGACTGGGGAGATGACCGCGACGCTCCAGGATATAGCTATGATCACCGGTCTTCCTATCGATGGGAATCCTCTATGTATGAGCACTGATTCTGATGGGTGGCGCGAGCAAATGCTTGCCCTTATCGGTATGGTTCCTCCGGAGCCGCGGGAACCAGTAGTAGAAGGCAAGAAGAAGGAAAGAGTCGCAGCCGGTGCTACTTTCACGTGGATTGTATCGAACTTCAGTAATTTCCCTGAGGATGCTGATGAGGACACGGTGAAGACATATGCTCGTGTCTACATGTGGTACGTGATATCCAGGAGTATGTTTGCGGATGGCACAGGCAAGAATGCTCCATGGATGTGGCTCAAGGCGTTGACCGTCTTCGATAGCAAATGGAGTTGGGGTTCGGCGACACTGGCTTACTTGTATAGACAGGTATGAAGTTGTTTCTGTTTCAATTCATTGGTACATTGTGAATGTGATCTTGCTGTTAACTCAACCATGTTCTCTTTTATGTGCAGTTGGACGAAGCCTGTTGTAGGCTATCTGGAGGTATTGGTGGTTGTTTGCTCGCACTTTCCATATGGACCTGGGAGCGTTTTCCTTTTGGACGACCGAAGACCGTGAAGTTCGATGATTGGGACGAGAAAGACGACCCACTATGGCTCCCCACTTGGGCTTACAAGTGGGATGTGTTAAATGAGATGACGGATGATCCCTCGGTCATGTACAAGCTGTACAGGAGCGAGATGGACGCGATCACGCCTGAGCAGGTGAATCGACATTGCATAAGTTATTATCATGCTTCCATCGTAACTCGATATAAATTTTGCATTTTATCCCATTTTGTAGGTTGTATGGGAACCGTATGGAAAAGGAGAGAGTTTTGGGAACCCTATAGAGTTCAGGCTGAATTCGATGTGCACTAGGGATAGGGATCTCTGGCATATGCGGTGTCCACTCATATGCAACTGAGCGGTTGAGCTTCACCTGCCACATCGGGTGTACCGTCAGTTTGGTTTGTTCATGCCACACCCGCCGGAGTGGGAGGACACCTCCATAGTGCTACACGCGTAAGATATAATCAACCTTGAGCAATTAGCAGCTTCTCGGCGGTTTCGATGATGCTAATATTATGTTTCTAACTTGCAGGTTGGATAGGAAAAAACAGCGGAAGATCAAGGATTGGGCCAAGCATCACAACAACTATATCATACAATGGGCGCTTGCTGTGGAGCAAGCTAGGGCTGGAAAACGAGCCAAGCTTCGTGAGCACTGCCCGATTGCGTTCAACAACTATCTAACATGGTTTCTAGGCGTCACGCGTGTGGAGGTATGCAAGCCGGCGTATGATGATAAGATTTTGGAAGAACCCACCGTCTTTGATGAGGTAGCCCAGCACCAGTACAACACATTAGTCAGGAAAGGCAACTCAGTGATCCCTGCGGGGCCAATGATGAACTTTGTGGTATTTGTC